CCGCTGAAGCTTCTGCGCAGGCAGCGCGGTGCTTCACTGGAGCATGCCGTGTGCGTGTCTGGGGCAGCTCGTGTGCCTATTGCGCTCAGGGGAGCGGATACACGAGGAATGTGGATGGAGGGAAGTCAACGGGGTTTCCTTGTGTTGCTTGTCTGGGTTTTCTGGGTGGGGAAAAGGTATTCCCTGATTCTGAAAGATGCTATCTGCTCTTGCACTGCAGCAAGCCAGGGCTTCAGTTGCCCTCTGGCATGGAGCTGTCTGCTTCGTGTCCCAGGTGTCTGCTGGAGTTTGTCCTCAGTGCAGGACCCTTCCTGCCCTGCTTCTTATATCAAACCAGCTGAGTATCTCACCTTTCTTTCTGCGATCTCCTTACGGCCCCAGCATCTGGACCTGGTCTGCTGTGAGTGACTGTGGTCTTGGCTGTGTCGCTGCCCAGGCCCGCAGGGTAGTTACACCCCTGTGATGGGAGGGGGTGGCCACTCATCTCGGTGAGCGGTGGGTAGCGAAGGAAGGTCCTTGGCAGTCGGTGTAGCTCGCCAGGCTGCTTCCTGACAGTGCTGCTTACGTGTGTGTAGGTGCTGGGCCAATGTCTACAGCGCCTCACTGAGGTGCGTGATCCTAGAGGAAGTGGACATGTTGTCCTTTGTGGGAGAGGGCCTCAGTCCGCTGGTGAGAGCCAGGAGACTGAGGTCCCATGGGGGAGCTGGGGATCGTGAAGCCTTCCTCCATAGCAGTTGCCTTCACTTGTGGTGACTGCTTGGTCTCTTTCTCCATGTCCCCTCATCTCCCACAGTGGAGAACAGGCAGCTGACCCTGAACCTGCAAACTGAGAACAAAGGCAGTGTTGTCTCCGGCGGAGAGCTGACGATTTTCCTGGACGGGCCTGCTGTTGATCTGGGAAGTCTGCCTAATGGCAGTGCCGTGACAGAGGGTGAGTGCCGCCCATCTCCGCATGCATGCAGCAACTCTGAGCACGAGGCGGTGAGCACCGGCAGGGAGAGGAGTGGGGCTGAGATCACAGCCCTAAGGACCTCTGAGCAAACATCCGAGTGCCAGCAGCCACCTCCTCTCCCAGGTAAGGCTCCGGCCCCTGCCTATCCCAACTGCAGGCTTGCTCACGGACTTCCGTGGCAGCGAATGCGTGGTGGGACAGGAGTGGTGGCAGGAGTGTGATCCTGTCAGTGCCCCCCTGCTGATATGAAAGGAGTGGCCGTTTTCCAGGCCCTCCGCAAGCTGCCTGAGTGACTTTGCTCCTTCCCTAGCTTCCCTGTGTTGGGCCTGGGACGTGTCTTCTGTATTTAAGCTGCTCAGATCGGGAGCTCCCTGTGGCGAAATGCATGCAGGGAGGCAGACTGATGTCTGACTGGTCGAGGCCTCCCGAGGAGTGAGCAATGAAAGATTCAGCTCATGTTGGGTAGTGACTGGTGTATTGGTTTCCCTCAGCTCCTTCCCTTCCTAGGTGGGAGTTCAGGCCTGTGAAATCTGGGAGCCTTCAACGAGGCTGCTCTCCTGATACTGCTAGTTCTCTGAAGGGCTGTTTTTGCCTTTCCCTAGTGTTCAGAGCCACATGAGGCACTGTGGAATGGGCTACACCATCGCATGTCAGTGCGAGATGAGAGCACCCCTACCTGGGGGAAGGGGGTTCAACGCGGAGCATGTTGCTCTAACGGGGCTGAGTGTGCAGAGAGCCCAGGCTGGGAGCTCTGCTGGACGTTGGTGTTTGTGGTTCTGACTCTGGCTACGCTAGCAGAGCCACATGGTAGCAACCAGCACAGCTCCCGCTCTCCCCTCTCTGCTGCTTGCTCATGACTTTGGAAAATGGGACACTCAAGGGGCTTTGCCAGATGCAAAGGTGCTGTGCAAACTCTTGCAAGCAGATGCTTCCCCTGGATTTGAGCGTAGAGGGCTGGCAGATCTGTCCTGAACATTGGGCTTTTGTGCCTTTGTGTCTCTTTCCTGGAAGGAAGGAGGCTGGAACTAGTAGGTGCCTTAGTCTCTTTCCTCACCCTCTTCTTCTTCAACCATTCAGGGCCTCAGGTGACTGGACAGGAACCCATCAGCATGGCTGCAGCCACAGAGAGCAGACACCAGCCTTCCAGTACGAACTGCTTTGGAAGCAGATCAAGGTAAGGGTCCCTTGCTTGGCAGCACCTCTCAGTCCCTTAGTGGGTGATTATTGAGCGCGTGAGGTAGCTAAGTAGCGTCTCAGTGGTCCTTTTACAGTGGATACCACTCTGGATCTCTCAGTGAGCTCACGACAAAGCAGCCTGTAGAAGACTTGGAGAAGGGGTGTGGTAGCAGACAGCAGAGCTGAAAGGTGCACCATGGTCATTCAGCTGTGGTGCAGCTTGTCTGAGCCTCTTGGAGTGTTTCATTTCTCAGAGAGTGTCAGGTCTGTGATAGCTGGGACAGTTTCCACCAGGTGCTCTACTGGCAGCTGAAGGAATGGTGTCAGGGATGCATGCAGAAGGCTGTGACTAGTCAGGTCAACAAGCAAAGGGCCTTGTCTGCATAGACTCCCTTCAGCTGGCTCCTCAGGATTATATGGACCACACCTCTCTTGCCTTGAGCACAGCCCTAGCCAGGTGCTGGGCCAGGTCGGGAAGCAGAGTGCCCATCCTGGCAGTGGTCACAGTGGGAGCGCTTCAGAAGGCCTAAGGAGGGTAGGAGAAGCAACGCAAGCAGAGCTACAGGGAAATGACAGCTAATTCCAAAGAAAATGAGATGCTTGGGCACCAAGCCATCCTGTGCTTGGCACAGTGCCCTTCCTTGCCTTCTTGCTGGGCTGGAGTGGCTCAGAGCTGCTCCTTTTGGAGCTGTGGTTATTGAGAGACGTGTCACGCTGTCAACATGGAGTTGAATTTAACACCTATTTATATTTCCAGAGCATGGCAGTGGCCCAGCAGCCTATCCAGATGTTCTGGTTAGAATTGTGTCTGTAGAGAGGGAGCCTGCAGCCTTGGCTGATAAGAGAGATTCTGCACAGCCTGCAGGCTCGACGTTTAGGGGCATTCTCGGCAGTGAGCCCTATGCTTTGAGCTCTTCTGCTCCTTCTTGATCTGCCAGGCACATACAAGAGAAGAGTGAAGGGAAGAAATGTTTTCCTCTCTAAAAAGTGACCTCATTCCTATCGTGTTTGTGCCTCACCTGAGGAAGGAGTGGGGCAAGAAATTAGATACAGATTGCTGAAGGTAGTTTGTGCCCTTTTACTGTGGCTGCTCCTCTTGATTCCTACTGTCCGAGCATAGAAGCCTTTTCACAGATGAGATGCATGCTCAGTGTCTTGATGGGAGTTGGCAGCTATCAGTATGTGCTAGAAAGCCTGTAAGGGAAGTTCTAGCTTAGGAGGCTAAGCCTGCTGCCTAGGTGTGACTACTTACTTCTGAATTCCTGATTGCTTTTCAACTGCCTGTAAGTAGTTTCTCCTCTTACTATCTTCTTGAGCTATGAGCCTGTCAAAGTGTGGTGAGTTCTGGACAGCACTTCTGTAGGTGACCTTCAAAGACCTTCCAGGTGTGGAAATTGCGTAAGCTCCTTAGCTAGTAGAATCTCTTCTGCTGGCAGGTTGCTGAGCTGTTGACATCGTCAGTGGGCTCTCGTTGCTTGCAGTCATTAAAAATCCCGTGGCTTTTCTGCTGTGGGAAACTTTCTAGCTACTTGTAAATTCATCCTAGACTCACCTGAATTTAAGGTTGTTCTGGACATAATACCACAGTTTGTAGTACTGTTACATGGGTCAAAGCACTGCTGTATGTACCCACCACAGAGGCAGCTGCCTTCTCCAGAGTGGAGTAGGAGGCCTGTGCACATGGGAAAGCTGTTTGATATTTGCTCTGTTTATATGCAGAGTGCTGTTTATTTTCATGGGCTTGGTGATGGATGCTGGCAAACTCCTTCATAGGCAGGATGGAAAGAAAAGGGTCATTCTTTGCTCCTCAGCTATTTCTACTCTCTCCCCTCAAGGGAAACTGCTTGGTCAGGGCTTCTCTTTCTTCTCCTGAACAAATGTCATCTTGGGATTTGCTGCTAATCTTGGTGACGGGGTGTGAAATTCCACAGCCTTCTGTGTGAAGAGAAAATAGAGAGCCCAGAGGTCTCCGGCTGAGAGCAGGGGCCTTGGGTGCAGAGAGAGTTGCTACAATCCCTATTTGTTTTGTTGTGGCCAAAGGGGCCTCTTTTGACGCTAGGGAATAAAGTAGTCTGGTTTGCTGCTCAGCCTCTGGGGAGACTCAAGCTGTCAAGCCATGGGTCTTATTATGTTCTGACCACGGGCATGAGAAACTTTGCTGTCACCTGTCACAAACTCATGCAAACTCACATGGTTTCTCTAGTGTAGTATGCTTCGCTTTTTCTACTTTTTGATGTCCAAAATTCACAGCTCAGCTAGTGATGGGCATGGGCATCCCTAAGGGCAGGTGGAAGACACCCCTCTGGGTCACTCAGTCCAGAGTTTTCTCTGGTCCCCTTGTGGGAACCCCTTGCTCTAGGTTGCTCCATAAAGTCCTGCGTATGGCCACAGGACTTCCTTGAACACGTGGCTTCTGGTGTGATGCTGCAGTAGTAAAAGGCCAGGTGAGCTGTGATCTACCGTTTGCAGCTCCGGGCCCGCAGAGAGGAGAGGTAGGCTGTGCAGGGCAGCGAGTGTGCAGCCTGCTGCTGGAGAGGTTCTAGGGCCGGAAAGGGCCAGGATGTTTTGCTCAAGACCTCAGAGAACAAGTCATGAAATGGATCTCCGGGATCAGCAGCGAGGAGTCTGGAAAGTGGTGGGTAACTGGAATAAACTGGGTGGAGCTGAAGCACGTTTTCAGGTGACTTTGAGCTCTATTTTCAAAGGATGAGTTATACAAGACAAAAATACAGTCTCTCAAGGGATAGCCTCAGGGGAACAGGAGCAGATGGATGCTGTGTTACTGCTGGAAGGCTGGTATACCCAGAAACCCAGGGTCTCTCACATCTGTCATGGTGCTTCTAGGCTGGGGATCTGCAAAGAGACCATGCATAGGACTAGGCTGTGAGGCCAGCCTGATGAGAATTGCCCTCTGGCCATGGATGTCCTCTCCTAGGGCCATGCTAGGTCAATATTCATGCTGCACATGAGAACAGCTGAGCCCCAGCAGTGAGACAGCAATAAGGATATTCTGCACTGGAAGGCCTGAGGGCAAAGGCCCTAGCGTGCTGGGAGTCCTAGCTCCAAGGTGTTGGTAAACGCGTGTGACCTCTGCTCCCTGCCTTGCAAACAAGAAAGCTGGGTGCAGGGGACCTTGGCTGCCTCCTCCCCCTTTTTCACAGAGGCAGAAGGAATTTCTCAGCTCTGTGTTTCTGGTGGTGACTCATGGCAGTGGGAGCTGAACCTCCCCGAGCCCCCCAGCTGCCCTTGAGGCAGTGGACATCTCCCTTCAACTGCAGTTGAGTGAGGCTGAGACTGGCATTGCCACCTCTCCTGACACCCCTGCGCTGGGTCACAGGGATGGGACCGCTGCTTTGGGAGGAGAAAGCTGTTTCTGGGTTTCACGTCCAAGCCAGAGACGAGCCCAGGCAATGTACCCTACGTCCTTTTGGCCCGCACCAGCCTTTGCAAAGCAGGGGCTCAGCCTTGGGAGAAGAGGGGAAACCGGAAGGTTTATGTCACCCTGGCTGACGACGCTTTCCTTTTTGGTGCAGTCTGGTCCTTCTGCCTCTGGCCCAGGAGTTGTGATGGGGGCAGAGCGCGAGATCGTCAGTCTAAAGGGAGTAACGAGGGCTTGTGCCCGCTGCCTCCTGCACTGTGCTGCTCTGCTCCTTCCCCTGGCGTGCTGCTAGAGTCTGTTCCCATCGATACTCTGCCTTATTTTTTCCCTGCTCCTATTTTAAGAGTTTGTTCCCAGTCCGGTCGCTGTCACGTGGCCCTGCTCGGTTTGGTTCCATGCGTCTATTAAAAGACAATACCCAGATGGGAGCGCTCGTAGGAGGGCTGGGCTGGGCTGGGCGGCAGGCTGGCTAATTCAGGCCTAGTAACCCTATGTGGCTGACTGGCAGCCTGGAAACATCCTGTTTTGGTTTCTAAAAACTCCCTGAGCAGCTTTTAGCTCATCTGTGCTGAGAAGGGCAGGGACAAGAACCGTCCTATGCCTTGGCCGCTCGCTCTCGGCGGGGCCGGCTCTGGCTGGCAGCGCTGCCTGCCCGCTCCCTCCCA